CTTACAAGCATTCTTACCAGGATGACACACTAAAAGGTTTCTATTTCCTGCTTTGGTGAAGGGGTGAAGCCCTCCAAGGCTTGGAGAAAGCCGAGCGACTCCGGAGAGTGCCGCCTCCTAAGGCTGCTGCTGACTGGGGAGGTGTCCCTGAGGGAGGGCTTTCCCAACGGCAACCCCCAGATCCACTGCGTTGATGGGAGATGGATGCTCATCAGGCACAAAGAGGCTCATGGCAAAGTGTGCCTCACACACACAGCAGTGACCGGGTCATTCTCAATCCAGGAGCGTCGCGCTACGTAGAATGTTCACCTGTGTGCTGGCTCATGCTACGTAGAATGTTCACCTGTGTGCTGGCTCGCGCTACGTAGAATGTTCACCTGTGTGCTGGCGCCTCCAGGATCTTCATCTCTAGCCCTGACCCCTCGCATGGGATACAGGCTGCTCACTCGCTCACTCTCTGCAGGTTCAACATGAACTCAATGTCAGCCCCTGCCCTCCCTCAGTCCCTCTCACCTGTGAGCCAATCTGAGACCTACACCTGATCCTGGCCCTCCCATCTCCCCTTCCAAAAACGTCTGCCAGCCCTACCACCTATTACCAGTCAAGCACCCACTGATGGCACTGTTCACCCTCTCCCTGGACCACCTGCTAGTTCTGCGTGTCGCCACGATTCATTTTCCTTATGATACAAATCATATCCTGTCACTCCCTGCTTTAAATAAGCCGGTGGATTCTCAGTGCCCTTGGAATGAAACCCAAACTCTGTAGAACAACTAGGAGACTCTTCATGGCCTGCCGCCTGCCAGCATTGAGCAAAGCCCACCCGACCACCCCAGAGCAGAGCTCTGCCCGCAAGACCAGTGTCCTGCCTTTCTGACACAGTCCCCTGCTCCGTTCCCTTTGGGCATTTGCTGCTGTTCAAAGTTCTCATGCACCTGTTTGTTTGGGTTTTATTGTCTGTTTTCCCCACTGCAACAGACACTTTAACAACAAGGATCTTATCAGATGTTTACTGCTGTATGCCTAGCACCTAGCACGGTGCTCAGCATCTTGCTGAATTTCATTATAATGAAAAAAATAACCAAACGGAGATAAAACTTCATGCCACAGAAACACGGGTTTCATTTGCAAGCATGAGCTAGTGCTGTTGGATGAGCCATCTCCCCAGCTATGTGACTTCAGACTCGTTACTTAGTATCCCTCTCAACTTTATCATCTGGGAAATGGGTTGATCAACAGTCCTGAGCTTATGGGGTGGTAAGACACAGAGAAGAAGATGCGCACAAAGTTGTAGCACTATGCCTGGCACATGGAATACCTTCAACAGATGCTAAGTACTAGTGGGGAATTAGTGTCTGTCTTATATTCAAGACAAGAACATTAGTTTAGTTACAGAAATTGACATATATCCAGGCCGGCGCCGCGGCTCACTAGGCTAATCCTCCACCTTGCGGCGCCGGCACACTGGGTTCTAGTCCCAGTTGGGGCGCCGGATTCTGCCTGGTTGCCCCTCTTCCAGGCCAGCTCTCTGCTGTGGCCCAGGAGTGCAGTGGAGGATGGCCCAAGTGCTTGGACCCTGCACCCCATGGGAGACCAGGAGAAGCACCTGGCTCCTGCCGTCAGATCAGCGCGGTGCGCCGGCCGCAGCGCGCCAGCTATGGCGGCCATTGGAGGGTGAACCAACGGCAAAGGAAGGCCTTTCTCTCTGTCTCTCTCTCTCACTGTCCACTCTGCCTGTCAAAAATAAATAAATAAATAAAAATTAAAAAAAAAAAAAGAAATTGACATATATCCAGATGGCAGGCCCCAAACAGTAACTGCTACAGTGAGAAATTCTCTACGTGTCCCTCTTTTCTATGCCCACAAAAATATCACCATTTGGGCACAGCCCCCGAGCAGCCTCCCAGCCACCGTGCCAGGCCTCCTGGCCTGTTTCTGCAGCCCCACACTCAAGTCAGTGTTTTCCCTCTGAAATCCACACCCCTATGATCCAAGACCTTTCCTACCGACCCTAGGCTCAGCTCATCCTCAGGGGCTTCCTCGCCCCACTCAGAACACCACCACCACCCCACCAAGAAGGGATAAGGCACAGTTGTTAGGAGCACGGAATGCTGTCACACTGCTCGGCTTCAAAGAGCCAGACACTCGCCAGTGAGTTACTTCATCTTGCTATGCCACAGGTTCCTCGCCTGTCCAAACGGTGAGGACAATGACGTTGCACACATCATAGGCTTGCTGTAAGAATCGCATGAGATACCATGTAGAAAGCACTCAGCACAGTATCTAAGGCCCAGTGATGATGGTGGTGATGATGAGCCTCCACTCAAAGACCAGAGTATGGTACCTGGGGCCGGAGCTGTGGACTGCTTACAATGCCCCATCCCATATCAGAGTGCTCATTCGAGTCCCGGCTGCTCTGCTTCCAATCCAGCTCCTTGCTAATGCACTCGGGAAGGCAGCAGAGGGTGGCCTCAGTGTTGAGTCCCTGCCACCCATGCGGGAGACCCCGATGGACTCCTTGCCTCCTGGCTTCGGCCTGGCCCAGCCCTGGCTGCTGCAGGCATTTGGGAAGTGAACCAGCAGATGGATGAGCTCTCTCCCTCTCTTCTTCTCTTTCAGTGGCTCTGCCTTTCAAATAAATAAACAAATCTCAAAAAACAGGCAATACTATAAATTGATTAGGTACAATAAAGATTTAATACAAAAAAGCAGAAACTATAATATCTGTCCCAAATATAAATCCAGTCATGACACATCTGTTCAAAAACCTTCCACTGATGCCCACTGCCCGTAGAGTACAGTTCAAACTCCTGAATTTAGGATACTAGGCACAGTACGAATTCTTCTACTGTGGTATGCAGCCACCTTTGCACTTTCGCTTCTCACCCTTCCCCTCCAAATCCTCTGTCCTATGAGACCCAGATCTGGCCTCAACCCATCAGCACTTGTTACCATACTGTGAACACATCAGGGCATTTTCTTTTTCTATTTCACTTGCAAAGATTCCCTTTCTACCTGCTAAGCCCCTGTTCACCAATCAAGACCCCCCAAAATGTTCCCTTCTTGTGAAGCTCTCCCTAAACCTTCCAGGTAAGGCTGGGGGCTGCCCCTCTCTGCGCCCGCACCGCACCTCTCAGATCTGAATACACATCATCCCCCAGGCGTCCTTGGCCGCTCTGCTGCTCTGCATCCCTGCTTCCCCATGACCTCCACCAGGGCAGAAACCCAGCTGCCTCTTTGTGCAGGTCTGACCTGCAACAGGTATCCAGTCAATGAGTGTTTGTCTAAGAGATAAGGGGAATCCAGCACGCTGATCCAAACCCACAGGATGAGCCCACTAAGAGGACGCTGAAATGAAAGCAGAGTCCTGAGGAGCACTTCATTTGATCCACTATCTCGCTGGTTTGCATCTCTTTCCTCTCTGACTCCTACATTGCACAACTTTTTTTACTTTAGAACTTGTGCCACTTTATCTAAAGATGAGTAAAGAAAATACGTACATGCGTTTAAGCCTTTCAAAGTATGTGATTTCTACGTTATTTTTTATCAGCTTAGTATTTATCCTGCTCTAAAGCAATTCTAAAACCTCATAGTAGGTTTTACAACTTTCTCCATTTCAACATATGATTAAGATGTTAGCTGTTTTACTGTAACTTGAAGATGTCTCTTTTTCTCCCAGACAACAGAACCTGTAAGGTTTTGCTAAATCTCCCCATGTGTGCTCCAGGCAGCACTGAACTATGAAGCTCATCTGTGAAACTGACCAGAGTCCCTGGTCAAGTAAATTTGGAGAAAAGCACTCACTGCATATCTTTAGTAAAAAGTCACAGAGCAGGGGCTGGCACTGTGGTGCAGCGGGTAAAGTTGCCACCTTGCTGGCATCCCATATGGGCACTGGTTTGAGTCCCAGCTGCTCCACTTCTGATCCAGCTCTCTGCTATGGCCTGGAAAAAGAGTAGAAGATGGCCCAAGTGCTTGGGCCCCTGCACCCAAATCGAGACCCAGAAGAAGCTCCAGGCTCCTGGCTGCTGACTGGGCCAGCTCTAGCAGTTGAGGCCATTTGGGGAGTGAACCAGTGAATGGAAGACTCTCTCTCTCTCTCTCTCTCTCTCTCTCTCTCTTTCTCTTTCTCTTTCTCTTTCTCTTTCTCTTTCTCTTTCTCTTTCTCTTTCTCTTTCTCTCCCTCTCTGCCTCTGCCTCTGCCTCTCTGTAACTCTTCCTTTCAAATAAATAAATAAATCTTAAAAAAAAAAAGTCACAGAGCATCTTAGCACATTAAGGGCTTGAAGAGGCCCACCAATGAAGAATGAGATAGTTCCCAAACTTAGTTATCAGGGAAGTCCTTCAAGTCCTTTGGAACAGGTGCTCATAGAACTTACCCTGGAAAATTCTGTGCCTTCCCCCAGTAAATAACCTAACACGACAGCATTCAAGGGGCATCAGGCACTGTCACCTGCTCAGGTGCTGACCCCTGCCTCTGTGTCCCTGTCATGTTATTGTCCACAATCTAATCCTCTATAGATCCCAGCCACTTGTCTTCATTCAGCCTCTTGGAGCCACAAAGAATAAATCTAAAACCTGAATCACTTTTTCAGCCAGAGGGCCTACGTTATCACGTTGAATCTCTGGTTGCTGGTGGAACAGCATTCGCAAAGCCTGCAAACTCTTCATCTGAAAAGTAGACAGAAAAGCATGGGGAAGATCCGCAGATAGCCACATGCCAAGCCGTCATTACCGACGGGTAATGGTAGGAGACAGTGACGTGGCGCCTTTGAAGGCTGGCACAAAGCTCTCCGTGCGATGACACCTGGCCAGTCTGAAGAGTCCTAATTCGACAACAAAACAACCTAAATCCCTTTTATGAGGTAAGGAGTGTATCCGAGGTAATAAACACTTAAGTAATTAGATGGTTTTTATGGAGATAGCTATAAACTGAAACATCAGGGGAAAAATCTGGCTAATAGGCCGACGCGCAGGGAGGTGGGTATATAAGAGCCAGAGCAGGAGAGAGAAGCATTGAGACACCAAGACATCTCTCCTTTCAACCCAGCAAAAACCCAACTCCCCACGCCATGGCTTGCTGTATTGCCCGCTGCTGCAGCGTCCCCACCGGCCCTGCCACCACCATCTGCACCTCTGACAAATGCTGCCGCTGCGGAGTCTGCCTGCCCAGCACCTGCCCCCATGAGATCAGCCTCCTTCAGCCCACCTGCTGCGACCCCTGCCCTCCACCCTGCTGTGAGCCTGAAATCTATGTGCCATCCTGCTGGCTGCTGGACTCTCGCCACCCAACTCCCGGACTGAGTGGCATCAACCTGACCACCTACGTCCAGCCCGGCTGTGAGAACCCCTGTGAGCCCCGCTGTTAACCAGCCAGGTCTCTGCACAGGTTCAGGGAAATGAATGCTCAAATGTGCTCCGTGCTGTCGGGGCTTCAGCACCTGCTTCTGCCTACACCATGGATAAATCAGTTCCAATTCCTGGGGCCATGTTTGCAACGAAATTGCTCAACTGCTTAATTCTTTGCTCCTCTGGGTACAGCTGAAGACATCATTTCTATCCTTTAGGCTATTTCACTGCTTTTTGAGAAATAGCCCTTTTGGGTATTCATTAATAAACTTTATTCTTCTTTAGCACATATAAAGTATTGTCTTGTGATTATTTCTTTCCATGTTCCTTCATAGGGAAAACAGAATGCCTACTTAAAACTCAACAGAAGGTTATCATACTACTCAGTATTTTCCCCAGCAGAATGAGAGCTATTGTGGTGGAATTTAGTGAAAAATGAGACACTAGTTCTCTGCGATAAGTTGAAAACTGAAAATTTCAGTGGGCTTTGTGAAATTTTTATACAATGATTTTTGAAGGCACCCACTGTGCCAAGCACATGTTAAGATAATGTTTAAAAAGCTTTTAATTTAGTTTCCATCAGTTCTGATGTTGATTTTTATTTCTTCCTTAATTTATTAAACAAATTAATCACTAGTGCCATGTAAAAATAATTTGTATTCCCTTAGGAAATGAAAACCAAATGAAACCTCAAGCTCAGAAATGCAAGGCAACTTTGACAAATATTCAGGTATATATCCTTTCCTTATATGCTCCCTTTCAGAAAAATCACCTTTGAATGAATACTAGTATTTATTAAATATTTCCAGCTCACTCAAATGAGGCTCACACACTGGTTCACATGAGTCATCACCATGTGTATAAGTCTACTCGTCCCCGTGACACACGGCATGTCATGGGACTCCACTGCAAACAGCAGATCACGGTGCAGTATTTTCTACCCACCAGAAATTGTTGCACAAATATAAGAGCAAAAACACACTATTTCTCTTGGAACAAATCTCTTATTGTAACTACTTAGTCGTCCTAGGAAAATCCAAACAGTATGGTTTCTACAGAAAGTACCAGAAGTGCAGGCTAGATGTGTATTTTCTTGGACTTGCCTTGGGATTTGTGATCGGTTGCTTCTCTCTTGGCTTCAAGTTCCTCTCCATTACAGGAGTCTCCTGTCTCTAGCCTTGGTTTCCTTGTCCTTCCTGTCCCCCTGTTTAGGCCACAGGAGAACCGTGAGAATCAAATGACCCAGAAAGAAGAACCTGCAGTGTCTGCCGCACCGACCAGTGCCTATGAGGCCCTCTCACCACTGCTGCCCAGCAGTGCCCACTTTCTCACAAAAAGGTTTCATTCCAGTTCTTGAAAGACGTGTCTTTCCCAACTGACTTCCTTGAATAAAGACTTATTAATGCATTCATTTTCTTCATCAATACTTTTATAGGCATTCATGAGAATTCAGGATTAAGGCAGGAGAAACATTGTTATCATTTCAAGTTACCCATTTTCTAGTCAAAAGCAGAGGAGTTTCCATATGATGGATAAATGCTCAGGCTTTCTTGTTAATGCAGAAAATGACCGTAAGCATCCTATTATTACCACTGTGGGCCTTTAGTATTCACAGGCCCTTGGCTGGTTAAAAAGCACCAAGCAGAAAGCAGGAGATGCGTTTAGTCCTGGCTCTGTCTCAGACCACCCCTGTGACCCCAAGCAGTACAGTGGGTCAGTCAGATCACTGCCACACGTGCTTTCAGTTTCAACATTCTACGGTTCTGGGGGCCAGTGTTGTGGCGCAGTGGATTAAGCCACCACCTGTGACGCTGGTTCAACTCTTGGCTGCTCCATTTCCAATCCAGCTGCCAGCCAATGTGCCTGGGAAATGCAGCAGAAGATGGCCCAGGTGCTTGGGCCCCTGCATCCACGTGGAAGACCTGGATGGAGTTCCAGGCTATGGGCTTTGGCCTGGCCCAGCCCTGGCAATTGCAGCCATTTAGGGAGTGAACCAGCTGAAGAAAAATCTGTCTCTCTCTCTCCCCCTCCCTTCCCCCCTCTCTCTCTGTAACCATGCCTTTCTAATAAATAAAACAAATCTGAGGCCGGTGCCACGGCTCAATAGGCTAATCCTCCGCCTGCAGCGCTGAAACACCGGGTTCTAGTCCCAGTCAGGGTGCCAGATTCTGTCCCGGTTGCCCCTCTTCCAGGCCAGCTCTCTGCTGTGGCCCAGGAGTGCAGTGGAGGATGGCCCAAGTGCTTGGGTCCTGCACCCGCATGGGAGACCAGGAGAAGCTCCTGGCTCCTGGCTTCAGATCAGCATGGTGTGCCAGCCGCAGCAGCCACTGGGGAGTGAACCAACGGAAAAGGAAGACCTTTCTCTCTGTCTCTCTCTCTCTCTCACTGTCCACTCTGCCTGTCAAAAAAAAATGAATATGAATAAAAAACATTCTGCGGTTTGAAATCATCCAGCAGCATTCTAACAAGTGCTCCATGGCACCAACCTACTCCATTCCACGTTGCTATTTTTACTGCTTTCATGAATAACAGCGAGCATGCGTTGACTGTCACAGGCGTTTTATGGACAGAGCTAGCTAAAAGATGGCGACCTTGATTCTTCCCATGTTGTAGGCTGCTGAGGCTCAACGAGTAAGTTACTGCAAAAGTTACACAAGTCATAAGTGACAGAGGACTTAAACCTAAAACTTCCTGAACCCAAAGTCCTTTCTCTCTCCACTATACTAAAGCTTTTACCTCCCGTGCGGCAAGGAGCACATGAAGGAAGTGTGATCACATGGGACTCTTGACCCAGGAGAACAAGTGTGCCGCCTGGCAGGGCATTCCCTACTGTCCCTCCAAATCAGGGCTGCAGAACCTCTATCCTGCCAAGGGCCATTTGGATATTTATAACATGACCCGCTGGCCATACGAAATTATCAACCAAAAAATGAGCCTGCTACTGAATTTCAAGTCCTGCCTGCAGTAGCCTTGGCAAGGCCAGGCCACACGACGTTCCGGCAAACTGTATATTGAATTGTACACAGTAACTCAGCCTTCCCTGAGGGAGATTACAGTGTAAGACAAAATGAGTATTTACAATGATTACAGGAAAAACTATTTCTGTTTCTAAGGTGAGAACATACCATCTATTTGAAAGGCAGACTTTAAATCCTGACCAGCAATGCCAGCACAGGAAAATTACTGGCTGGGTCATTAACCTTGAATTGAAAGGTGGAGCGTTTGACGACTCAAACACATTTTCAATTTTCTGATGAGCTTCAGTAAACCAGACCGAGGTAAAACAAACTGCCCTTGAAGTGAACCACTGATAATAGGATTTAAAAAAACCAAGGCTTGTATTTCATTTTCCATTCAAAGCGTTCCTAGTACCCAGACTTATTTTCATCGATCCTGGCTAATCCAGATCTCCATCACAGCCATGGCCTCCTGGTCGACTCTGAGCCAAATATATCTGCTTCCCTCCATCCACCTGAATGACACCCCTAGCAGACCACGACCCTGACCTTTTATGAGTATTGTTTACATTGAACTTCTCAAAAACACTCGGCTGAATCAAAGCTAAACCCTTCATTGTGGCTCTCAGGACCCTCAAAAATCGGGCAGAGTGGTTCTCACCAAACCTTACCTGCTACTAATCTTGCGACAGTGTGTGGTTGGCACACAGTCCTAACAATGCTCCTACATGGTGGTCTAGAGAGTGCACTCTGAAAGACTCTCTGGCTTTTTTATGTGACCAGCTGTTAAATAAGATTATAAACAGTACACATCTCATAAAAATCCAGTGGCAATTCAATTAATTAAAACCTGTACAGCACTTAGAGCAGCGTGTGCTGATTCTCAACCTCTGAGTTCACCCCTTCATGCTCTGCTTCCTGGTGATGGGGAATGACTGATTCTCCACTCACAGAGGGCACCACAAGGAGGCCGCCAGTTCTCAGGAAGGAAGGGGGGTCTTGTTGTCTTGGCAACAATCTTTTATCTGGTAGGTTCTAGTCCCAGTGTCTTTCCCCCTCCTGAAGCACCAGCATCCACAGAGCGGTGATGCCTTCCTGCAGGGGCCCAACCCTTGCCCCCAGCGGGGCTCTCCACTGAGCCTCTGAGGGAAGGGCTGCAGTGGGCAGTCTGCACAAGTCAGAGCCTCGCCCTGCAAGCCCACTCTTCCAAGTTTCTCGATTCAAATAGCCCCGACCTCTTCCTTCATTCTCCAGCTCTGGAGCTGGCAGCTGCCTCATCTGTTATGACCTCAGTTTACCTTTTCCTGCTGTTTCAGTCCTCCAGTGCCTAAGATAGGTACTAAAAACCAAGACGGGTAAAACAATGTGCCTGCTTCGAAGGTGACTGCATTCCAGTGTGAAGAACCAACATGCGTAACAACAACAACAACAAAATGCAGCACAGTGTTATCGCTGGACGCTGGACGTGGAGCTCAACGGAGGCACAAAGGTGGGAGTGGCCAATCCCGGGGCAGGGCTGAGATTAGGCAGTACAGCGTCACAGAGGAAGTCATTCTTCTTTTATTCTTTTTTCCGCAGTGTTTATTTTCATCTATTTGAAAGGCAGAATGGCATAAAGAGGGAGACAGAAAGAGAAAGATCTTCCATCCTCTGGTTCACTCCCCAAAGCCTGCAGCAGACATCATGGGAAACTTTTTCTTTTAAGAAAAGCAAACTCCTGACCTGCTGTTCCATTTTTTTGAAAACCACCACCAAAGCTGATCATCACTTCCTGTCAAACACCTGACACCTTTTCTCAATCCCTTCTACTTGAATTGAGCTACTGTGCTACCATGTTGTGGCTATAGATAAGATGTGAGGACAATGAAGGAGACTGGCCAGCAGATCCATTCACTATTAATCAAGCACTTATTGAATCTTGAAAATACTCTGAAGAGTGTGGTGGAGACGAAGAAATAAGGCACATCGACCCTGTCCTCTGGGAGTTCCTGGTCTGATGGAAGAGGCCAGACAACTATTTGCACATAAGGGTGTCTTCAGATGGTTTGTGGACAATGCATATTACAAAGAAACCATGTAGGGACATCAAAAAATTTGCACCAAAATGTATCTTTTAATTCCATTTTCCCCAAACTTTTTGATATCTCCTCATATGATAGTCTTATTACAAGAGTTGTATAAGCATTAAATGAGAGCAGCTTGTGTAAGTCACTCAGCATTGTGTGTGGCATAACACAGTTATTCAATAAATGACAGGTTCTCCTGTGGGTACTATGAAAATCCCCATATGAGAAAACACTATGAGACAGAGTTGAAGTGATCCAAGACATCTTCAGGG